GCACCTTCCACACTTCCCTGCGCATAACACATTTAAAAATAAAAGAATATTTGTGCAAAAAGTTTCCTAACTTTTAAAAAAAATAAATAAATGACCTCTCACTGAGAAACACTAAGACTGTCACAGATTTGTAAATCAGAGTCCACAATGAGTCTCCCCATTTCAATCTCCTGGGGGTTGAAATAAGGTAGAGATGGAAAAGAATCTCTTCATCCTCTTTTCCCAGAAAGAGACCCAGGCAGAGAGTGACAGAGCCCACTCTCAAAATACTGCCTTACTCAATGAAGAAAGAACAAAGTGTGGACTTTGAGACGGCTCCTTAGAACCAACCAACGTTGGTTGCCAGTGAACCAGTCCTCAGTGGGACAAAACTCCAAAACCATTAGCTGCAATGACAAAAAAAAAAAAATCTGTCCTTGGGGTCTGGCTGGCTAATAACTCTTCCAACCACAACCTTCTTAACCAATTGTCCCAAAGTAATCCTTCCTAACTAGGTCCAATGCCACCAAGTGCGAGAATGCTTTCATTTTAAGGATGTGGGAAGTCAGTGCCATTTTAATTTCAACTAACATGTTTCATCTAGACTGAAAAACAAATTGTGATTTCTACTAAAAACTGGAGAGAAATCAAATGCTTATAAGATGCTACTAGCATAGCTAATTCTAAATTCCTGAAGAAACTCATAGTATGCTGGTAAAGCAATCCATTAATACCAAATCATTCTCTGTGGTCTGCTAAGGTTCCCAACGTTCTATGAGCCATAACAGAAGAATCAAGATTTTTAGGAAAGGATATAATTTTTAAGGCAATTCTTCTGAAGGAAGCAGCTGGGTATATTCTAGAGTGGGGTAGCCTCAGGTTTGGAGAATAATGGCCTTAGTTTTTCAAATAACCATCTGGATGTCCTTGAGCAAAAGTCACTTGCACGTTCAGAATCTCTGTTTTCTTCACTTGTAAAACGGGGCGTTTCAGCCAAAGACTCCACCAGCTGTAAAATTCTATAATTCTCTAAGTCATAGTTAACTGCATCACTGGCAAGACTGCCACCATAATCAGGATGATCCAATTAGCACACTGCAATGTAGAATACTCTATTTGTAGTTTCAAAAGATAGACTATGCTAGACTAGAAGGAGGGCAGATCATGAAACGCAGTCACCTTGTTTTTTGAAACAGCTAAAGAGTCTAAGGACCAAAGATGTCAAGTAACTGGGTTAAATTACAAGCTCATTAGTGGAAGAAGACAACTGGGGCTGCCTGACTAGTCCTGTCTGCACTGCTCCCCAGTTGGCTTCCGGCTGCTCTCTTCACTAGAAGTTGCTTAGTCTCTCTGAATAATCACAGTGTGGCTTTTATGCCTCTCATTAAACGCAGCCTACATCACAGCTGTTCTTTACTGGCCTCAGGGTTATTAGTTTTCCAGGCACCTAATCCAGGAGACATTTGAAGACTGACCTGAAGGTTTTCATGAAAATGTGCCCAGGATAAAATACTTTTAAAAGTCCAATGAGGGTTGACTGAGAAAGCCAATATCTCCATACTTTCCACCTGCTTCCCATTTTATCAAATGAGTATTTTATAGGAAGGAAGAGCCTCATGAACCCATGTCTGCCCCAACAACTTTCAAAAACCAGGCTGTGGCCTCAATTGCATAAGCATTTTGTCACTCTGGCTTCAGGCCACTGTGAAACCAGACAGCATCTCTGGCATTTATACACAGACTCCACAGGTAAGGACCCGAGCCACCTGACAGCACAGATGCTGCCCTGGTGGCAAATCTCACAAATCCTGTATCTATTTCTGCTTGTGAAATGCTGGCTGGGTTATAGTAAAGGCTACACTGGAACACTGAGCCCACTACTCCCCCAGGTATGGAATCTTTGGAGGCACTGCCCTGCAAACCTTTTAGGACAATCTGGGAATTTCTGTGCAGGAGCAATGCCGCATGCCACCCAGTATGCTGCAATTTGTTCCAATGTTAGACAATTTGTTCCAAAGAGTACAACTGACTGCTAGACATTAAACCCTATATTATGTTGGATCCAACAACTTGGTTGAATCTCTCAGACATAATGATGTGTGAAAGAAGCCAGACGCAAACGAGTATGTGCAGTGTGATTCCGTTTATATAAAATTAAAAGTATAAAACAGGCAAAACCGATTTGTAACAGTGACACAAGTCAGAATGGTGGGCCCTCCATAGGTGGGGGATATTAATTGGAAGAGGCACAAGAACCATCTAGGGTGATAGAAATGTTTGGTTTCTTAATTTGGGGTAGTAGTTACGTGGGTGTCAAAATATTTAAAGATTCATCAATTCTATACTTTAGATATGTATGCATTTTACTGTATGCACAATAAAAATTATTTTAAAAGGCTAGGAGTGTAACTCAGTGGTAAAGTGCTTATCTAGTACTAAGAAGGCCCTGGTTGAATCCCAGCAGGAAAAAAAAAATAAAATGTTGTATGGGGTCCCCTTCTTTCCTTCAGCATAAGAATACCTGAGATTATCTGAGTTGCACATTTACAAATAATATCATTAGAAATAGCCATAGCTAAATTAAATGCTTAAACTGTGCGGGGAGATTTATGTGAATTATCTCCTTTAAATCCTCAAAACACCTACATAAGATAAATACCATTCAGATTCCCACTTCATAGAAAAGAAAACTCAAGGTGCAGAGAAGTAAAGTAATTTGTCTCAAGTCACACAGCAAATAAAGTGGAACTAGGATTTGAACCCAAAGCAGAATCACTCCAGAGCTTTGGTTTGCAGTTGATCTTAACATTGTGTCATATGCTACAGGGGAAGGGTCTTCCTGAACTTTGATAATGTTTGATAATCGGTTCTGTCTTCTCACTAGTGCCTGAGAAGCACCGAACATCACAGTGCCTTGTGCATGTTCTGCATCAAGAGGAAAAAGGATAAGGGCTTGGGCCGTGGGCTAACAGTCTCTAGCTGATTAAATCCTAAAGTTCATTCAGGAGAGACACCTAGTTCAGCATAAGAGCCTGTTTTTTTTTTTTTCCTTGCCATTAGCAGAGGAGCGTGGGTGCTGTTACTGGCTTGTTTTCTTTGACCTTATTCCTCTCCCTTAAAAGAAACACACCATGGGGCAACACAGAGTGGTTTTGTATGCTATTCACTGGGGCTTTCTGTAGCAACATGTCCTAGGATGAAATTTCCACAGCATGCCACACACTTTTAAGATCTACTTTAGACCTTTTGAAAAGACCAAAGGGGCTTGTTTTCCTCTTTTTCTAGCTTTTATATTGTTATTACATTAAACATAATGTATCTGTGGAGCCTGGAGAAGGCATTAACCACTCTTTAATTATAAAATACATAGCTTGTTATTTTCCAGACACCCTCTTTTATCCTTTACTGCCTTCTCAATTAGGGATCATATGAAACCTGTTGGATCATTGATTTCTGGATTAAAAGAAGCCATAAATTAAAGACCCTCTAAAAACCCACTGGAGGAAAAGGCAGAAAGTGACTTAATAATGTCTTAGGGCTTATTAGCAACCAGACCCAATTCCTGGGCTCCATAACCCAAATTCAGAATAACCCCCACCTGACCCTAGCTTCCCAAACAATTGTTTATGTACTCATTTTTCAATTAACTTGGAGTAATGATTGAATGTGGAAATTTTCAATTAAAAAAAAAAAAAACTGGTCTCATCTCACCTGTGCCCAGTGACCCACTGTGGCTTCCTACCTACAGTAATCTGTGAAGTCACGGCCCTGGTCCTCACCCCCAACCCAATGCAGAGTTAAAACTGTAGGTCAGTTATCAGCAGCCTTCGGGTCAGAATAAATTTGTGTCATCCTCTGAACTGGGACATGGTTCTGGGCAAATGTCTCCACCCTGCATCTGCCTGCTCTGCTGTGCAAGACTTCACTCCTCCTCCCAGTCTAATCTCCAGCCCCCATACAGTGCTAGCCAGTCCCAGAGCCAGGTCCCTCTCCCTGCGGTCCCATCTTAACATCTACCATGTTGGGCAGACTAAATTTCTTAGAGTTGCCCCTTGTGAGTAAAGTCTTCTACCGGATAACTAGGCCTTGCCCAAATCAAACAAGAATGTGCTAGCCTTTGAGAAAGTAGCTCAGGACAACATAGCTGGCCTCAATAGTTAGGCAGGCTCCCTCCAAGCCAGAGTGTGCGTGACAAGGTAATTGTGCCCATCTCCTCATTTCTACTTGTGTCTGTACCTACCAAGATCTGCCAGATCCCCCAAAGTCCTCCATGGACTTAAATCCTACCCAAGTCTGCTCCACGGCCCCCATGAATTCAGGCTCTCAACTAGAAACCTTTGCATTTGGCAAAGTTAACATTCTCTATTTCAGTGAGGTATAAGTGTCTCAAAGACATTCATAATCTCAAATGATATGAAGATAATCAGTGTGAATTTGGAATGGAAGGAAATCATAGTTCTTAGTGCCCAGCTTCTGTATCTCAGGCAAGCATGGCCTTCCAATCTAGTCAGCCTTCATGAAGAGATTTAAACACACAAATGCATATACACATACATGCATACACATACATGCATACACACACACACACACACACACACACACACACCACACATACACACTGGAAAATGGGCTTGGAAAAAATATGTTGGTGCTAACAAAAGAAACAAAGTACAAGCTAAGAAGAAAAAGAAGCAATGCTTAATCAGAAAATAAAACTTTAAAAAAATTCATCATGGAATAATAAATTTGGTGATAACTGAAATGAATGAACCCATCATATATTTTTTATAGATGTAAGAAAAAGTGATTTTGAAGCAAATGACCCAACCAGAACCTGAACCGTACCTGGTATAGAATATTATATGCAAACATGGCCATCCAGAAGTCTTGGGATCCTTCAAGAGTGGTCAGGTATTAGTATTGCTCAGGGGAAAACAATTATTTTGCAGGCATTTTTCAGAGAGTATCCCACCAATGGCCAAATGGAACATCAAAGGCAGGTTCTTTGGCAATGTTCTTACCTGGTCATCATAGCGGTATGTAAGGAACTGCTCCCCTGTTGTATCTTCCAGAAAACTTCCCTGAGGAGAGAGTGCAAACTCAGGAAGGAAGTAGGCTCCAGGAGACTTCTCTGCTGTGGTCTGAAAGGCAAAGTCACCTGGTTACACAAAAGGCTCCAGGGCAGACCTCCTAAGGGACAGATTCTAAAAAGGACATTCCAAGAGAATCCAGAATTCTGCATTCAGAAAATGGAAGTGTCCTGTCTCGGCAAAGACCAAGGTGGGGCACATCAGGCACCTGTGCTGGGGACACTGTTAGACCAGGATATCACATTGGTCTTTCTCAAATGACAGGAGTGGAACTATTCCACTGCCCTCCTCCTGCTGCTCCCCACCCCACCTTTCAGCAATTCAGCCACAGAGAAGTTAACTGCTTAAGTTTTGTTGTTGCAAACCAATTGCTTTTACAGTACATTTTCTTTCCTTTTTTCTTTTATTATTTGTGTGTGTATGTATATGTGTGAGTAAAACTGGGAAATGAATTTTTTTCCACACTAACAGAAAGGCATGTCCATTATATCAACTTAAGAAAATACAGACTACCACAAAAGACAGCAAAATTCACCCATAATCCCTTCAAGTTATGATAACTACTTTGAATTGTTTTGGTGGATTTACTTAGAGTTTGTTTTTTTCTATCAACACTTTTTATCTTCATATAAAAATCCGAGGTTAAATAAACATGACTTTTGCAGAAAAACTCCATTTAGTTCATGGAAAGCTCATACCCTGGTATCTGAATCATTAGATCAAATCCATTGATTGCTGTTTAAAAGGACTCAAGGAGAAGGACACCCCTGTTGGGGAATATGCCTTGGACAGAATGACTTAATAGACTTGTTACTATCAAGCCACCCACCTCCTTACTGATAGATCCCATTCAAGATAATTTTAAGGATGCAGAGTGATTACTAGGATTTCTACCTTGATTGATTCAAGAAGGAAAGTCAAAAAGGAGATGGAATCCCCAATGCTCAGTCCTGTCCAACTGAAAAACATGGACCCATGACTATCTCCTCAACTGGGAACCTCACGCCCCCCTGCTTGGGAAAGAATGAGAAAGAAACAGAGTAAGAGGTCAGAGGTATTCCTCCAAGGAAATGGATCTCTGCAAATATGATGAGTCAGGAACAAATGTACATTTCCGGAGCAGAAGTATTTCTACTGCCCCATGAATCTCTTTCCAAAACCACAGCTGAAACTTTGGTTGAAGCAAAAAACATGCATTTGAGTACTGCACTTTAAAATGAGAAATAAACCCACAGTAGTTTTGTCAAGGAACAGAGACCATCTAACTTCACTAGATTAGATAGCACTAAGAATTTTCAAGGTTTTCTTATTAAATTTAATTTGCATGAAAAATTTAGCACCACTATTCTTAATTCGTCTCTACTGGCTTCACGATTACCAGAATCATAATATTAGATGCCTTAAAGATACTGCAGAAGTCATCCCAGGTCAAAATTCTTATTTTATAAATGAATTAACTCAGGTTGTCAGAGTTAAGAGACCTGCTTATCATAATGAAGCCAGGCATTAGACCCTTAGTTCCCATGTACAAAATCACAGACAAATCCACTTATCAAAGAGTGGGAGCAGTCGAGTGTCATCACCTTAAAACAGTTTTCTGAATGTAGAGGACCTTCCAAGACTATACTTATGTTAAGTTGACCATGAATTCAATACCTAGTTATTGAGCACCTGCATATGCCTGGAATACAATGAGGAACAAGGCTAAAGTCCCTATTCTCATGAAAGCTACTTCTAGTGGAGTGGAGGAAATACATAATAAAATAACCAAATGCATTTAAGTAAGAAATTTAAAGTTTGAAGTGCTGTAAAAGAAAGAACTGGGTGATAGGAAAATAGAACTGGGAGGGGGATACTTGATTTTTAGATAAGACGGTCAGCAAAAGGATCCTCAAGAAGGTACGATTTCAGCGAATTTCTAAAGCATTCAAAGGAGCCCGTTTTGCAAAAAGCCAAGAATGAGTATTTCTACCAAATGAAGAGCAAGTCCCAAGTCCCCAAAGTGGAAAGGAGGCCAACAAATTTAAAGAATAGAAAGGAGGTCAGTGTGGCTGGATTCAGTGTGGACAAGCAGCATGAAATGGAGATATGAAGGAGAGAAAGAGCCAGGACATTCAAAACCTTGAGACCATGGCTGGAATCACACAATTGTACTTAAACAACAGTGACTGTTGAGTGGGCTAGAGGAGGTAAAATGAAATCATTGATACAAACAGGTTAAAAGGGATGGTTCATTGGAATAGAATCATCATCCCAATGGAGATGGAGCATGGTGGTTGGATTAGAACCATCCAACTTGCTGATGAGGGAGAAAAGGGGAGGAATCCAGGATAATTTCTGGGTTTGAGGCCTAAGCAACAAACTAGAAAGGAATGCAGTGGCCTGTGGCAGGCCTGGATGCGCTGGGAAGAATGAAGTCATGTGAAGTTGGAGCAGTCTGTGAGACAATCCTCATGGAGAACTTGAGTTTGCTGTTCCATATGCAACTCAGGAGTTCAGGAAGATGTGAGATTGGAGTAAGAGATTTGGAAGTCACAGCTGAAATTTTCATACACACACACACACACACACACACACACAAACACACACACACACACTTACAGCCATTATGCCTGAAAGGACCATACCTAGAGAGTTTGATAGACAAGGAAGCTTTTCCTGGTACTCTCAACAATTCTAATACTTGAAAATGTGAACAACAACAACAAAAGAAACAAAGAGTCTGAAAATGATCATTAACTGCAATAGAATGAAGAAAAATCCTGGGTCATAGAAGGATTCAGCATCAAAGAAAATAATCAACTATCTTGAGCTCTAAGAGATGGAGGGAGACGAGGCTGGATGAGTATCCACTGGGTCTGGCAACAAGGAGGTCACTATTGACATTGACAAGCATAGTGACAATGAAGTGGCAAAGGGACAATTCCAATGAGTATGAGTGACAGGAGAAGAGGATGTGGAGACCATGAAGGGAGATTGAGAATGAGGCCATAGGTAGGGGAACATGGAGTGGCAAGTAGACATTTTTAAAGACAGGAGAACTTCTATTACTGTGATACTCCAGTGGGTGAGGGTGAGGTAGGGAGAAGGAGGAGGAAGAGGAGGGGTCAGAATAAGATGATGGCAGTAGTAAAGCTCTTTAGAAGGAAGAGGAATGGAATCCAGCTTGTTCCCAAACGGTTTGGCTTTGTAAAGATGAGGGCCCTGGATCCATGTAAGTCCACATCAGGCCATGTTTCTTTGCTGACTCCTGACTTTGAGCTATCACCTCCCCCCGGACACCTTGCCACTGGGTCCCAAGATCATCCATCTGTCCCTACTGTGCTGTCTTCCCTCCCATTCAATTTTCTTTCCACTTAGCAAAGTGAGACTATCCTAACACTGGTATAGATAAAATCTTTTGGAGTCTCTTTTGGTAACAGCACAATACTTCTCTTTGTTCCTTGTGTTCCTACAGTACTAAAAACAACTACGAACATTTCCTAAGTTCCAACAAGCTTCCCCACCTTCAGCTTAAATTCAGATTGGTAAAATAATATGTTTGCCTATCCCAGGCTTCTTTCTCTCCTCCAAGGCTCATTTGGGCACTGCATTTTGTAGGAACTTATAAGTCCGAAGACAGAGTCTCCACTGGCTCTGCCTTCCCCACGGTAGGTGCCCATCACAGTGCCTGGTACATGGGAGGTGAGGCATGAAAGACTGGTGGCATCACCTGAGCCAAGTAGTAAAGGACCTGCTTCCCTGGCAACCCTGTGGGAGTTCAGGGTTACCAGTCCCTGGGCTAAACAAGATTTTCTTCACACCCCCATCATATTACTTATTACAGATAAACAATGAAGCTTTTACACTCATCTCTTTTTATAAAATCCTTACTCCAGAATAAATTTTTACTCAGGAATGTACTACAGCCCAGGTACAATCCAAGTGTTTTGCAAAACTCCATAGCATTGAAAGCGCAGTGAGGCCACCTCACACCTCCATGGCTGTCTGCAGTGTTGTTGTATTGCACGATTATGAAAGCCCAGCATTTCTTGGCTCTCTGATCTAGCCTGACTGCCTCAAGAATCCTGCCAGACACTCTGCATACCTTTAGTGACCAGGAGCTCACTCTCGTCAAAGCTACAGGGGTCTGTCAGAATCTAGCCAGTTTAAAGACACCAAACTAGTCCAAAGTGGCCCGTGGCTTTCCAGCTGAAGTGTCCTGGCCCCAGTACCTTCTCTGACATCCTCCTCCACAATTCCCCTCCCACATATGCACCATCAAGTAGAATTCTGGCATCTGAGCAGAGTGGGGTCTAGGATGGGCCAAATGTCTGAAGCATAGAATTGCAGAATAAGGAACTTTAGAGACAGTCTAACCCCCACCTCTCTTGAGGATGGAGTTTCTCTGGCAACAACTCCAATTGTAGATGCAACATATTCAACAAAGATCCTTTGGAGAAAGAGACTGGAAGGAAGGCCACTTGGGTTTCTGAGTGTCTAGAGTGAGCTAGCACCTATGGGAGCTCCTTCTGTCTCCACACTTCACTGTGAGGTGGGTGCTGTAGCCTTGCTGCACATGGTGGGTTAGGACATTTGACTAGCGACACACAAACTTTTGGCAGCCCAGGCAGACTTCATCCCTGTTTCCATTTCCTCTTCTCTTTCAATGGGTAAGTATCCTTTAGGAGAAATGTCTGAGTCCATGCATGGTCTTAGAAAGTGAGCCCCATAAGGAATGCATTTGACATTTCCACCCAGATGGGAGGTAACTTCCTAACTGTCAGTGAGACTCAGGGGCATGTGGCTCCTTATGGGATGGGGTGACCAAAGAGGTCAGGACCCTTAAGTAGCAAGATTTGGAGAGAAGACAGGGGGAGGGAGGCCAGATAGGAAGTGCACAATCTTCCCAGGGCACAAAGCCAGGGCCTGGGAGAGAAGCTGCCAAAATGCATCCTCTCCACCAGCTGCTGAGTCACCAGGGACAGGGGCAGGAGGAATCCAGACAGCACCTCCAGGGACTATGAATCTGAGACTTGGGGATACAGCTGTGTCTCCCCCACCCCCAAACT